CAGAGCGCCTGGGAGGGTGGACCAGGGATGGACAGCCGGGGTAAGGGGCTCGGGGGTCCCCGACGCGGGCAGGGGCGGTGGACCAGGGATGGACAGCCAGAGTCAGCCGGGGCTGACGGGCTCGGGGGTCCCCAGCGCGGAGAGGGTTTGTCCAGCTGGGCAGAGCCTGACCAAGCGCCAGCACACTGATGAAAGCTTGGGGGATGGCACAAAAACCCGGTTCAACAAAAACGCATTTACTGGAAAAGTGCCTACCTTTGTGCCCACGTTGTCACTTCACATTCATGTGTAGAGATGGGCTCTGGGCCCTAGAGAGGAACTGAAAACATAATTCACAAATATGTATGATGTCGTACTCTGTGCTAATACTGCGCTAGGTGCTAGTGATTGAGTGGAACCCGCTGAATCCTTGCCCTCGGGAAGATTACCCTTTAGTAAAGAAGACCTCACATAATGGTATACATATATAACGACAAATTATGGGAACAAGCAGTAAAATGAGTGAAGGGTGTTGTGGAAATGTTGGGGTCTGGAACCAAGGGCCGAGAAAATTCTTGAGATGTCTTTGGTGCAAAAAAGTGGATTTATTAAAGCACGCGGACAGGGACTGTGGGCAGAAAGCTGCACTGGGGTCATGAGGAGTGGCCCACTATATACTTTCAAATTTGGTGAGGGTTAGCGATAGCTTAGTCTCTAAGGAATTTGGAAGCAAGGTTTCCAGGACCTTGAGGGGGCTAGCTATTGTTGGGAAAAGGTCGTTTATTACTGTCTAATAAAACCTGAGTCATGAGACCCTTCAGATGTGTATCGGTGGGCCATGTGCTCGGGGGATGATTGTCAGCATACATATTGGGGGAAATTGCAAAGGAATTTCTTTATGTTTAAATTAGACTCACAGGATCCTGGGGGGTGGGGCTAACTTTGCCCTTAGCAAAGTGTCAACATCATGGCAGCCAAGCTCCCAGAGGAAGGTCACTCTGCCTGTTCTAAGGACTTGTCACTGGGCTGTAAGTAGTAAGGAAGTTTAATTTCTCTTTTGCCTTTGTTTCCCACATCAAAGGGGACAAGGAGGATTCATGCTTTGAGAAGTCAGAGAAGTTTTTGAAAGAGGGAATTAACCTGAGATGTAGAAGAGAAGTAGGAGCTATTCACCAGGGAGAAGAGCCTTCCAGACAGGGAAAAATTTATGTCAGATTCTCTGGCTGTGGTCACAGAATTTCATCTACTTGAGGTTCAGTTTCCTCATCTGTCAGATTTAACAGTCACTGTCCCCTATGGGCCAAGCACTGCAAAATGCTGAAAACATTACATTAGGTGATAGGTATGATTGCGTTCATCAGATTTTCTTTTAAAGATTTTATTTATTTGAAAAAGAGAGATAGCACGAGCAGGATGAGGAGCAGAGGGAGAAGCAGGCTCCCCACTGAGCAGGGAGCCCGATGCGGGACTGGATCCCAGGACTCCGGGATCATGACCTGAGCTGAAGGCAGATGCTTAACCCACTGAGCCACCCAGGTGCCCCACATTCATCAGATTTGTTAGAGTTTTGCTAATAATGCTAAAAAAAAAAAAAAAAGCCACTATCTTCTTGGAAAATGAAAAGTCAACTTGAAACTTGTTCCAGAAAGAAAGAAAAGTAGAGCTGCTCTTCTAATCTTACCTGGGCAGTCATTCTGAACATGCTTGCTAAACCATGTTCTTGTCCTTTCATCCCTTCCCCACTCTACCAAAGTAGTGCAGAGGTGTATTCAATGACGTTCTTTCTGGTTTCCAGTACTTTGTTGAGTAGGAGTGGTCAGAGAGGACCTCCTTGCCTTGTTCCCCATCTCGGGGAAAGCATTGTCCTTCATCATAGGTGTGATGTTAGCATTAGGTTTCTTTGTGGATGTTCTTTATCAGGTTGAGGAAGATCCCCTCTATCCCTATTTTCCTGAGAGTTTTTTTCTTGAGTGGTATGTCAGATGCTTTTTATGCATCAATCATTAGGATCATGTGTTTTTCTTTATAGCCTGTTAATACGGTGGACTGCATTAACTGATTTTCAAGTATTGAACCCACCTTGAATTTCTGTAATAAACCTCACTTGGTCATGGAATATCATTCTTTTTAATATTGCTGGGTTCCATTTACTAATATTTTGTTGATGACTTTGTTTTGTCTGTGTTCATGAGGGACATTGATCTATAGTTTTCTGTTTTCTACTGTTATAGTCTGGTTTTGTTATTAGGTTAATACCAGCTCATAAAATGAAAGTATGGGGAAGTGTTCCCTCATCTTCTGTTTCCCAGAAAAGATTGTGGAGAATTGTTGTTAATTCTTCAAGCATCTACTTGAATTCTGCCATGAAATCATCAGGGCCTGGAGATTTCCTTTTTTAGGGGTTTTTAAAATTATCTATTTCATGTTGAATGAGATTTGGCAGTTTGTGTTTTTAGAGGAATTGCTCCCTTTCAACTTGTTGAATTTACATGAGTAGAGTTGTTCATAGTATTCTCTTATTATCCTTCTAGTGTTCCTAACTTTTTTTAGGCATATTTTTAAGTAGATTTCACAGAGAACCTTCAAATCAATACATTATTATAAGCCTGATGGAATATGCTGAATTTTTAAAACTTGGAACCTGGTAGAATGCTGCATGTGTACATTTAGCAGGTGTTTTTAGGCTCTAAGTCACAACTATGGATCACTTTGCTGACATCCATGTTAGGAAATGCCTACTAACTGGTGTTTACTGGTTTCTTTATTTAACTGTGCAATATTTAACTTTATTTACTGGTTTCTTTATTTAACTGTGCAATAAATGAATCAGTACCAACAGGACTGAGTCACCAGTCTCAAGAGGGATGTAATCATGTGCCCTTCACACTTTTACTTTGTCAGCCATTTTGTTTGTGTGTATTACGGACTCATGACTGCTCAGATACATGGTCTATCAGTCAACCTCTGCCAGTGTTTGGCTTTGATGTTCAAACTGTCACACTCGGTTTTGGCCAGCAGAACTTTTAGAAGACGTTTAAAACATTAGCCCCCCCCGCTTTTTTTTTTAAAGATTTTTTTTATTTATTTGACAGAGAGAGACACAGCGAGAGAGGGAACACAGCATGGGGAGTGGGAGAGGGAGAAGCAGGCTTCCCGCGGAGCAGGGAGCCCAACCCAGGGCTCAATCCCAGGACCCTGGGATCATGACCTGAGCCGAAGGCAGACGCTTAACGACTGAGCACCCAGGCGCCCCAGAAACAATAAAAACTTAAATGTAAAACAAAAAAATCATTATGAAAATATTTTATTTATTATTTATTTATTTATTTTTAAAGATTTTATTTAGTCATTTGACAGAGAGAGACACAGCGAGAGAGGGAACAGCATGGGGAGTGGGAGAGGGAGAAGCAGGCTTCCCGCCGAGCAGGGAGCCTGATGCGGGGCTCGATCCCAGGACCCTGGGATCAGGACCTGAGCCGAAGGCAGACGCTTAACGACTGAGCACCCAGGTGCCCCGACATTAGCCCCTTTTAAATGAGTTTCCACACCCCATCATCTCCATTCATCCGTGAACACCTTGATTTCTAGCACAAAGTGATCCAGGCTAGTTTTATACCAGTCCGTCTCAGACATGGGATTAACCCTTTCTCCAAAAAAGACTTGGTTCCTTTTATTGGAAAAATGGTATTAGAGACCAGAATCTTGGCACGAGGGTACCTCATGGGGGTACTCTTGAGGCCGTCTTGATCTTCATAACTAGCATGATGATCTTCAATAGGTGTTCTTAAGTTCATATGATTGATTTACTAGCCCTCCTTGTGTATCTGTAACCTTACAGTCCTTTCTAGGAGGAGAATTAAAAAAAAAAAACCTGCATGTCATGGCATAGGAATTCTATACCTCTTACACAACCCTCTCTCCCTCTCCCTCTGCCCCTCCCCCTGACACTCATGTGTGTGTGCTCTTTCTCCCTCAAATCTTTAAAAAGTCATAAATGTAGGGGCGCTTGGGTGGCTCAGTCGTTGAGCGTCTGCCTTCAGCTCAGGTCATGATTCCAGGGTCCTGGGATCGAGCCCCGCATCGGGCTCCCTGCTCCGTGGGAAGCCTGCTTCTCCCTCTCCCACTCCCCCTGCTTGTGTTGCCTCTCTCATTGTGTCTCTGTCAAATAAATAAATAAAAAATATTTTTAAAAAATCATAAATGTAGAACTTCGATTTCTCAGAAGACTTTGGATAAACAT